TTCTAGCGTTTTCTGGTAAAATTGAGCACGAAACTATTTTTTCCCCTTAATTCCAGGAGAATTAGTGTGGATATTGACTGTTTTAGGTTGGAAAATTTCCAACCACCCTTATTTTGCTCTAAGTGTCGAGAGTCAATAGGCTTAATCCAATGCTTGGAGACTGGTTAGCACTCAACCATTTTAACTATTATAATTGAATAAATGTTATCAAGAAGGAGGTTTTGGGAAGGCTATGTGATAGGCTGGGATTGGAAATCACATGGAATGTTATGGGTATTCTGTTTCATTATTTTCTTGTAAAGTCGTGATAGTATTATTCTAGGTAAATTTTGGAATAAAAATAATACTAATGATGAATTTTCTTTAGTTTGATGCACGTCACTCATTGGTGATTAATTTACCATGTGGGAAAACTTAATAGCAAACCAAGAATGTTTGATGGCTCTTGATGCTTTGTTTTATGTTTAGAAATTTCTGTGGAATTAGTATGTGCTATTTCATGCTTCTAAACTTGCTGCATTAATTGATGCTTGTTTATGGCCATCAATACGAATTTAATTGTCCCATTTTGCTCTAGGTGCAGAATTTTCTTTGAAATGACTTTGATTGCCATGTTCATATACTTATGTAAGAGTTTTATTGCCATAAAATGCAAGAGTAGAACATATGCAAGGGAAACCAAACTTTTAAGTCATGGTAACTCCAAAATTTAACATGATTAAGCAACATCTGAAATAGTTGAAGAAGTTGCAAAATAGGATCAAACCTGCCACACCTACCTTATTGTGTTTTACTCCTTGCTTGCATAATTGTTGTTGATTTCAGCGGCTGTTAGTTTATTTTTTCTTGTTTATACTTATGTTATTGTAATATACAAGATCCCATTTAATTTTGGCTTAATTATGTGCAACAATTTTGCACTTTTCTTACATTGTTTTGTAACACTATCATGCTAATTTTTGCCCTTAAAACTTGCTAAAAGCTACACAAAATGCTACCATGGCATATTAATTATTGTCCCCTTGTTGTACGTTTTGTTGGTCACTAACTTGTTGTCCATTTTCCCCATTGGGTACCAAATTCTCCATTATTTTTAGTTATTGTTTTCTATTTTAAAATCCTTTATTATTGCTTTATCTTGCTACCGAAATCCTGCTATGTTAATCTTAGCTCTTCCCACTGAAACTTGACTTGAATCATATGTTGTTTCTTGTTTAAATTTTGTATAGAACAGTTCTAAACGGCCCATAAATTTTAACTATGGTTAACTACTGTTCCAATGTAATATTTTTCCTGTTTTTATACTAGAAAGTATGCAATCATGATTAGTTAAAATCTACCTTTCTGTAGTTGGCTTTGAACGCAATTTTTGCACCTAAAATTGTGCTGTATCATGTGACATTTGGAGTTGTTTTAAGCATATTCTAAGTATGAATAAACATATTAATATATTAGTAAGGTTTCAAAGGGTAGAGGTGATCGAGAGGTATAGGAGGAAGTTGTTTCTTTGATTAGGAACTTGATTTTGGAATTTGATTCTGGAATTAGAAACCAATTTAGTTAAATGACAGATGTTGTAATCTTGTTTGTACCTTGTTGTGGCATAGGTTTTAAATCACCTTCACCGCCTTGAGATCTTGAATTCTGCTTGTTGTATACCTACAAAGCGAGATAAGTAAAATTATGGTAAATGTCCTTGAATTTTTAAAGGTAAAGGTTTTAAAGCATAGTTGAACTATTTTTTAGATGATAGCGGGATCTAACTCAATTTTCATTAGCACATCAGCAAAATTGGTTTGAAATGAAGTTGTTATTATTTTATTGATTTAAGCATGCCTACATGGAATTTACTTAATTGTTTTAATGATCTGAAATTGGTTTGTGAATTATGATTTTTCCTATTAACTCTTGCATGGTTTTGTCTCTAATATGGTCATGATTTCTGTTATCTTGCTAGTAAGAGTTATAAATGTTGGCACATGTCAACATGTATTTCTGTAGGACTAGTTCATTTTGTATTTCTGTTATTCTACTAGTGGGAGAGTACATTGGTATTTCTGTTATCTAGCTAGTTGGGAGAGTACATTGGCCACAACTAATTGAGGGGACCATTAAATAAATTTTAGTATGTATAAATGATTTACAACTGTGATTTTCTTTTTGTTTAGAATTTAAAATGTTTACTTGGCATGGTTTAAATTTCAATGATGGCTATTCATATTTTTACATACTGAGTTATCTTATATAGTTTTTCCTCATTTACCATTTTAGATAGCGAGACTTGAGACATGAGAAACTAGGGGGAGTGATGAGCTAGAAGGTTAGCTACTTGTATTTTGGACTTAGATTATTTTGGAGTTAGGCCACTAGTCACATATATTTTTGGACATAGATGTTGGAAGATAGATCGTTCTTTTGTAGACTAAATTCCCTTAGATATGGTCATGACTGTACTGATAGAGCTATATAATTTTTGTGCACTTTGGCCTAGTCAAACTTTGGTTATTAAAGGCTAAATTTTACTTAAGATTTTGAATCTAAGTTTATGTGGATTGCTAGTTAAAAATTAAGTAGGTTTTGAGCCTTATGCATTTGTGGGAGTTTCTCACAAGTGTACAATGTCTGTTTCACTCCTAGTTTTGGGGTGTGACACTAATAGTGTTCTGAAATAATAGGTTAAAGTACCATTTTGGTCCCTTAACTTTCCCATCTAGTACCAAAATTGTCCCTCAACTTCAAAAAGTATTAAAATTATCCCTAAACTTTCATTTTTGACACCAAAGTGATCCTTTTGTCAATTAAATGGACAAGTGGCATGTTAAGTTGCTTGAAAATTATACTTTTTTGGAAAAAAATACTGACATGGAAAAGAAACATAGGTACGTTGATGATGTGGCACTTTTTTTTTTTATCCATGTGGCATTTTTAATTTTAACAAATGAATAAGGGAACAATTATTATTAATCAATTAAAATCATTTCTAAAATTAACCTTCTTCTTCATTATTCCCATGCTCTTCTTCAGTCTTCCCCTCTTTCTCCCTCTTGTCCCCGAGCTATCATTCCTCCTCCATCTCTTCCCCTTCCATTTTTCCAATTGATCCCCTTCCCCATTTCATAAATTTTATTTAAGTAAATTTTGGTACCCTAAAGAGAAGAAAGAAAGGTACACAAAGACATTCTCCTTGAAGAAGTGTCTAGGTTTGGAGAAAACTCTCAAAATGCAAAAGACTGTCTTCTCCAAAACTCCACTGATTTCAAATTCCAAACCCTAAACCTACTATTTCTACTATTTCTCCTCTTCTTTGTCACAAAACAGTGATTTTCTTCCCTAGTGGCAAAATTCTACAAAACCCACATCAAGTTTCAACTCCAAATTCTAATATGAAAAAGGTATCCTTAAAACTTAAAAGAAAGATTAAATCCCCGATTCAGTCCCTCAACTTTCATTTTTGAACTAAAGTTACCCTCGAACTTCAAAAAGTACTAAAAAAATCCTTGAACTTCAATTTTTGGGACCAATTTCGTCCTTCCATCAGTTAAGTGCTGATGTGGCGAAATTCTCCGTTAAGAAATTCAATTTCTATTAATATTGAATATTACCTGGAAATAAAATAAGTGATATGGCATCTTTTAATTATAAAAATATTATGACATGGCAACATGAATATAATTTAATAAATAAAAATTTCTTTCCTTTCTTTTTTTTTTTTCCTTTTCTTTCCTTTTCTCCTCCCCCCCTACTGGGTTTGAAGGAACCCAGCATTCCTGGGTTCCAGTCGAACCCAGCACTCCTGGGTTCCAGTCGAACCCACCTGGGTTTTTTCTTCTATTTCTTTGTTCTTTTGTTTCTTTGTTGGCTGCGGTCATGCTTGGCTATCTTGATATGGGATTTAGAGTTTTGTGTGGCTTTTGCTTGCTTGAATTTCAAGATCTGGTGTTGATTGAAGGGATCTGTTTTTTACATTTTCCTTTTCTTTTACAGATTTGGTATAAGTTTGCAATATGATTGATTTGTTGAATCTTTACAGATTTGGTATAAGTTTGCAGTGTAATTGATTTTTTGAATAAGATCTATTGGCCATTATTATTGTGCGAGGAACCAGATTTGGGTTCCATTAGAGAGGAAGTTTGGGGAAGAAGGAGATGGTGATTAGAGTGGTAAGAGATGACCGAAGTAATGAAGGATGATCGGTGCTGATTCGATTGCAAGATGAAGAGACATTTAAGGATAGAGAGAGATGAGAAGGGAGAAAAAGAGAGGTTGGAAAATCAAGATGGGGGTATTTAAGGAATTTAAAATTTTTTAATATGTAAATTAATTAAAATGATGTGGACAATAAAAATATTACAGTGAGTTAAGTTATTTTCCACGTACTTAAAGATTTCAAACAAGAATTGATTTTGTGGCAACTTAACGTGCCATCTGGCACTTCCATCGATGGAAGGATGAAATTGGTCCCGAAAATTAAAGTTAAAGTTCAAGGATTTTTTTAGCACTTTTTGAAGTTTGATGGTAAATTTAGTTCAAAAATGAAAGTTGAGGGACTAAATCGAGGATTTAACCTAAAAGAAACCCCTATAAACAACTCTAAACTACCACCCATAATAAACCACAAAAAACTCGAAATTCCTAATATTGTTAACCTTCTATTTCAAAATCAATATTGTCTTCTTTTTCTTTGTTGTTTGTGTCGGCATTGTAATCAGAGTATTTTCCTTTGCTTTTGTTCATAAGAAAATCTTTCAAAAAACTCATCTCTTTGAGAACCTAGAGCTGGGTTGGTTTAAAAAAACCGGTTTAAGTACCATTTTAGTCCCTCAACTTTACACTTTGGTACCAAAATTGTCCCTTATCTTTAAAAAGTACCAAAATTATCCTCGAACTTTCATTTTT